AACTCCAACAATTCCACGGATGGAAAACGGCTCTTTCTCAAAATCCGGTTCTCGCCTTAGCGCAGCGCACATGCCTCAAAGTCTCATAAATTCTCACGGATTGAAGGCGGGTGGTTTTCAAAATGCAGTTCCCGCCTTAGCGCCGCGCACATCCACTTTTACACATTCTCACGAGTTTCACGGATTGAGGGCGGTTCCTTTTCAAAATGTGGCCCCCGCCAAAATGCCGCGCATGTTTCTTTCATACATCTGCGAACAAAAAACTCTGACGTTTGAACCCCACATGAGAATCGATGTAATTCGCCCCTCGACTTTTTGTTTTTCCGATGGCGGCGGTTTCCTCCCGCCCTCTCCGTCCCCTCCACTCCTCTTTCTCCTCCTCCTCCTCCTCCCCCTCCTCCTGTTCCTTCTCGTCCCACCCGTTGCATTGATCATCCTTTTCCTCTCCCGCCTCCTCTTCCTCCTCCGTCTCCTCCACTCCCTCCCTTTCCTCATCGCGTTCCTCATCCTCCTCCTCGACCTTTGCCATGCCCTCCTCCCCCTTATTTTTTGTTTCCCCTTCCTCATCGCCGCCCCGCCCGTCCTCCTCCTGCGCACATCCTTCATCCCGGCCCGGGCGCGCGCGCAGATCGCCCTCGGAGCCCTCGCCGCCACCTGGCACGGACGCGTTGTCCGACGGCGTAATTGCGCGGCCGTCGGGGACAGCCCCGCGGGCCAGGCCGTCGGGGCAACCCCGCGAGCCGCTGGCGCGCGAGACCAAGCCTTTGGGACAATCCCGCGGGCCCCGAGTGGGGCGCCGCCGCGCTCAGGCGGGGGCCAGCACGGAGCCCCGCACTGCCGCGAGCTGCCCCGCCTCTGCCCTGGCGCTCTCCGCTCCGACGTCGATCTCCAGGAGCGCCTTCCGCAAGGACGCTGGCGGCTCTCGCTCCGGGAACTCGCGCTGCGGCGGCCGCGGGATCCGCGCGTTCCGCACGCGCGCGGCGCGGAAGAATACGACGCAGAGGAGCAGCCACCACTGCTCGCCCGACATGCCCGCGCGACCAGCGCCCACGCCCCTCGCGCAGTCGACGGCGACGCCCTCGCGCAGCGTCTGGCCCTGCGACAGCGCGGAGGTGAGGCACGACGCGCGCGTCGCAGAAACCGGGGCGGCGCGCTGCGCGCGGCCCCGAGCTCTGCCACGTGAACTCCTGCTCGCCTGGCCTGCACATGAGCAAGCTCCTCTCCCGCGCCTCGGCCTCGCCGTCGTCGTCGGCGCTTTCGGCGCCCTGGAGCAGCACCTCGGCGACCTCCTGGTATATCGGAGACTCCTTCATGCCGCGCACCTGCAGCCAGATTCCCTGCGGCAGGTAGCGGGGGTGGAAAAGCTGACCCGGCGAGCGCTCCTCGCACCGCTACTCGTCCTCGGGGTGGAACTCGAAGGATGCGACGGTGGCCCGTTGCTCCTGCGCGAGCCCCAACTTCTTCTTCTTCTTCTTCTTCAAATGTTCCTGCACTGCCGTGAATCGCACTTCCATGCCGACGCGGGCCGGAAAGACCCTGTGGACCCCCATGTCGCGCACGTTCGGGACATCCAGGAGGCGCCGGCCCGCGTCGGGATCGCCCTGGGTCGCGTTGCACTTGTCCACGGCCTGCAAGAAAATGAGGGGCCCGCCCAGACGCCGCGCGTCGCGACAAGCGCGCGCTGATCCACCTCGCCAGCGTCACCCAGTAGGCGCCCACGCCGTAGCCGAGCCGAAAGTTCTCGCGCTGGCGCCGAGGGCCCAGGACGCATTGGGTGCCTGAGGCCAACGTCGTTTCCCAGTCGGACCAGACCCCTGGCGGGAAGGCCCTCGCGCATGCAGCCCGAGAACGTGATCAGAAGGTCCCCAGGCTCGAAGCGCTGCGTGCCTTTCAGCCCGAAGACGCAGGGGATCTGAGAGAAGACCTTAATGGCGCGTTGAAACTCCACCGTCGGCGGCTCCGCGTACTTGTAGAACCCGTCGTCCAAGAGTTCGCTCACGTCCGTCAGGAGGCCGAGGCCGAACTGCCGAGGTGTAACACGATGGGGACGCGCCCGAAAGTGGTGGTGCGGCCGTTCATACGAGGACTCGTGGACTCCTGCACGTCGTGCGTGTCACTGCGTCCGTGGCACGCGCGAAGGCCAAGCGCGATGTGCAGCGCGACCGCCACCCGCCTGATACTTCCTCCATATCCAGGCTTCAGGGGCCCAAAACTGACGACGGTTACAGGATCCCGATGGCCCGCTCGGAATAAAAAACTTAATCGGTGGGCCCCATAGGGAGAGGGCTCCCGCCTGAGACTTCCTGGCCATTCACTCACAGACGAGGCTCCCGCCTGATGCTTCCTCTTCATTCAGGCCTCCAGGGCCCCAAACTCACCATAGTTACAAGTTTCCGAATACCCACCAGGATTAAAAATATAAGCGGCGGACCCCATAGGGAGAGGGCTCCCGCCTGAGATTTTCTCGCAATTCACTCCCAGACGAAGCTCCCGCCTGAGACCTCCATATCCAGGCCTCAGGGGCCCAAAAGTGACGACGGTTACAGGATCCCGATGGCCCGCTCGGAAAACATGATCGGCGGGCCTCGTAAGGAGAGGGCTCCCGCCTGAGACTTCCTGGCAATTCACTCACAAACGAGGCTCCCGCCTGATACTTCCTCCATATTCAAGCCTCAGGGGCCCAAAAACTAACGACAATTACGCTCGGATTGAAAACATGAACGGCGGGCCCCATAGGGAGAGGGTGAACGCCTGAGACTTCCTCGCAATTCACTCACACACGAGGCTCCCGCCTGATACTCCCTTCATAGCCAGGCGTCAAGAGCCCAAAACTGACGACGGTTATAGTCCCGATGACGCGCTCGGAATGAAAACATGATCGGCGGGCCTCAAAGGAGAGGGCTCCCGCCTGAGACTTCCTCGCGATTCACTCACAGACAAGGCTCCCGCCTGATACTTCCTCTTCGTTCAGGCCTGGAGGGCCCAAAACTCACGACAGATACAAGGTCCTGACGACCCGCTCGGATTGAAAACATGAACGGCGGGCCCCATAGGGAGGGGGCTCCCGCCTGAGGCTTCGTTGACGATGGTATTGCGACAATGATGATGATGATGATGATGATGATGATGATGATGATGATGATGATGATGATGATGATGATGATGATGATGATGAGAATGATAATGAGAATGTGGATGATAATGATATTGATAATGATAATGTGAATGAGAACGGGAATGGTAATGATAATGGCAATGACAGTGATAATGATAATGATAATGATAATAACAATGACAATGACGATGATGATGCGAATGATAATTATAATGAAAATGAAAACGATGGCGATAATGATGATAATAATATTGTTGATGATAAGTAGTAGTTGTGAGTGAGTGAGTGGGTTGGAGAATGAGGGTGTGTGCGAGTGGAAGTGATAATGTTGCGGTGATGATGGTGATTATGGTGATGATGATGATGGTGATAATGTGAGTGTGTGAGTGTGTGAGTGAGAAGGGAGGGGATGATCCTCTTACTGCGCGGGGTGTCCTGAGAAAACAAAACACCCACTTTGTATGTGGGGGAAAAACTTCACGGATTAAGGCTGGGTGGTTGTCAGAATTTGACTCTCGCCTTTGCGCCGCGCACAGTCGTTCTTTTCTACCCAGGAGTTGCACGGATTGAAAGCAATTTCTTTTCAATCTGTGCCTCTCGCCACAACACTTTCGCGCCGCGCATACTCATTCTCACAATTCGAAAGAATGTCACAGATCGGAGGCGGGTGGTTTTCAAAATGTGGCTCTCGCCTTGGCGCCGCATACATCCAGCGTTTCACTTTCAAAAACTTCACGGGTTGAGGGCGCTTCCTTTTCAAAATATGGTTCTCGCCTTAGCGCCGCTCACATTCGTTTGAGACGTTCGCTAGGGTTTCATTGATGGTTCATGTGCAAGAAATCACATTTTGGAAGAATTCAGGATTGTCAGGGCGCAGCAGTTACATTGACTCGCTGGGTTGGAATGCCCAAGAAGAAATGCTGTGGTAAATTTAGGACGGTCAAGACGCAACAGTCAGGTTGACTCGTGGCGTTGAAGTCCTTAGAACGGTGTTTTGGCACGATTCTTGATTTTCACACGGTTGTCCCCCGTCGGGGCACTTCCCTCAGTGGAAGTGAACTAGAGGCCTACAAAGAGGGAGCATGGAGAGAGAATCCCTTCCAACATGATTGATGAGCCTTGGGATTACGCTGGTCCTCCTCCTCCGTCTCCCTCTCCCTCTCCTCCTCCTCCTCCTCCTCCTCCTCCTCCTCCTCCTCCTCCGCCTCCTCCTCCTCCTCCTCCTCCTCCTCCTCCTCCTCCTCCTCCTCCTCCTCCTCCCTCCTCCTCCTCCTCCTCCTCCTCCTCCTCCTCCTCTCCTCCTCCTCCTCCTCCTCCTCCTCCTCCTCCTCCTCCTCCTCCTCCTCCTCCTCCTCCTCCTCCTCCTCCTCCTCCTCCTCCTCCTCCTCCTCCTCCTCCTCCTCCTCCTCCTCCTCCTCCTCCTCCTCCTCCTCCTCCTCCTCCTCCTCCTCTCCTCCTCCTCCTCCTCCTCCTCCTCCTCCTCCTCCTCCTCCTCCTCCTCCTCCTCCTCCTCCTCCTCTCCTCCTCCTCCTCCTCCTCCTCCTCCTCTCCTCCCCTCCTCCTCCTCCTCCTCCTCCTCCTCCTCCTCCTCCTCCTCCTCCTCCTCCTCTCCTCCTCCTCCTCCTCCTCCTCCTCCTCCTCCTCCTCCCCCCTCCCTCCTCCTCCTCCCCCCCTCTCTCCTCCTCCTCCTCCTCCTCCTCCTCCTCCTCCTCCTCCTCCTCCCTCCCTCCTCCTCCTCCTCCTCCTCCTCTCCTCCCTCCTCCTCCTCCGCCTCCTCTTCCTCCTCCTCCTCCTCCTCCTCCTCCTCCTCTCCTCCCCCCTCCCTCCCTCCCTCCCTCCCCTCCCTTCCTCCCTCCTTCCCTCCCACCCACCACGGAGGGCACGCTCCCGGACGCGGTCGTGGGCCTGGAGCGCCGCGAGGGTGTCCGGCTCCAGGCCCGGCAGGTCCGCCAGGTCGCCGCTGGGCAGAAGGGGGGGGCGGAAAGGCGGGCAGGATCGGTCGGCATCAAGTCGGGAGATCGGATCGGAACGGAAAGTGCGTCGGCTCGGCGGTGGACAAACCTCCCTTTAATAAACCTCACTTTAGTGAAAATGGCCTGGGACCGAAACCGACGGACCTGGACCCGCAACAATGACGGCCGCGACGCCCTCTCGCGAAGCGAAAACGGCCAAGTCGCTCATCGACGTGTCAGGGTAGGAGGTCTGTCCACCCCCGATCGGCTCTCGGATGAGACAAAGGTTAAGTCGGGCGTGTCCCCCTACAGGTGGATTTTCGACGAACACAAAAATACCCAAAAAACATCAAAAAATAATCCAAAAATAGTCTGGGGACTATTTTTTGAATATTTGTTTTACCTTTTGGGAGTATTTTGGGGGGATTTTGATTTTTTCGTCCAAAATCCCCCTGTGGGGGGACTCGCCCGACATAAGACAAGGGGGGGGGGGGCAGCAGGGGGGGGGGCCGCGAGTCAGCTCACGCAGCCGGTTGTCCAGGCGCCCGCCAGCGGCGCCGGGAGGCACCAGTGCAGCAAGGAGAGGCGCCCGGCGGCGGGGGCGGAACCAGCTGTTCGCAGCAGATGTCGTACCCCCGCCTAACCTCGGGAGCGGTCAAGAGGGGGGTGTCCAAGAAGGGAGGGGGCAAATCATGGCCGGCGGCACGTGCGCGGCCCAGCGGGGGGGCCAGGGACGTAACGAAATAAGAAGAGGCGCCATGAAATCTAGGGAAATATCATGGCCGCCACCATGATATCCACCCCCACGAAGTCATCACCCCCTTCTTTTCCGCCCCCGATAACCCTTGCGGATGCCACGACAATGGGCACCCTAACAGTCCGATCATTGAAGTTAAAGTGTGCTTCAGATGTCGGAAACATGTTCTGACCATGTCGCAGACATGTGTTTTACGTGTTTAAAACACGTTTGAAACATGTTTTAGACATCTGGAAACTATTTGGCAGCATGCTTCCTCTCCATTAATCGACTTCCACAACCCTGCCCTGTTCGCCCCCTCTCGCCCGACCCGAGGATCGGGCCGCATCAGCAATGCTTGGGCGCCCGAGTTATCCGGGGTAGCTCGGGCTTGGATTCCCGGATCGGGCCGCATCGGCACGAGGGCCGGAGCCGAGTCGGGGAGGCGAGCCTGGATACACGGCAGCTCCAAGCAAGCATCGGGCCGCATCGGCCATCGCCAAAACATCGGAATCGGATCGGGTTGGATCGAACCGGCCCCTTGGCGGACGGGGGGCAGGGAGCGACCACACTGCACACCAGCGCGAGATCACCAGAACGATGCATCACCACGATCACACGCACACCCTGTGGTGGCCGTGGTGGGCGGCACCTCAAGTCGCGAAGCCGCCAGGAGTCAGCTGACACCTGGACTGGACTGGCCTGCACTTCGGCCACCTGGATTCCACGGCCACTATACATATAGACATGTGTGCGTGGATTCGGCTTGACAGCAAAGGCCGCATCCCCACTCATCTCTTCAGACCCTGCCGGTGGAGCATCACTCAATGCAAATATCTGTAGCATTCACTACGCCTGACCCTGCAAGGCGGCGAACATAGCAAGTGCTAGCCGCAGGCCCGACACTTCGGCGGAGAAAGTGTCGGTGGCCTGCCCCCCCGAAAGCCGCGACCTCCCAGTCGCCGCTCCCTCGAAGACCCGGAGAGTGAACCCGCCCGCTTTCCGCCCGCACCCGCGCCACCCGCCGCCCGAGCGGGCCGTGCATACAGACAGACAGACAGACAGACAGACAGACAGACAGACAGACAGACAGACAGACAGACAGACAGACAAACATACAGACATGCATGCATGCCTGCCTGCCTGCCTACCGACAGACAGAGAGACACGCATACATACGTGCATACATGTACACACATACATAGAATTACATGCATGCATGCATACATACATTTATGCATACATAAATACGTACATGCATACATAATGGTATGTATTTTACTAGTTTCCTTTAAAAAATACCTATCGCTACAATAGATTACATTACATTACATGCATACATACTTACAAACATACATGCATTGCGTACATACATAAATACTATACATACATAAATGCACGCACGCACGCATGCATGTATGTATGCAATCGTACAAACATACAAGCATACGGATACTAATACAATAAACTACATGACATTACGTTACATTACATTCATGCATACATACGTACATATGTACATACCGACATCCACACAGTGCATCCATGAATACACTACATACATAGATGCACGCACGCATGCATGCATGTATTCATACATACATGAATGTATAAACACACACACATACATACATACATACATACATACATACATAAGTTACCTTACATTACACTGCATTACACTACATTACAGTACATTACACACATACACACACACACACTTACATACATACATACATTGCATACATACATACATGCATACATACATCACATACGTACATACATACATGCACGCACGCATGCATGCATGCATGCATTCATCCATACATGCATGCATGCATACATACAGACATACGTACATGCAGATATACAAGCATACTTACATGCATGCACGCATGCATACATACTTACATACATACACACAGACATAGAGGCATAAAGACATACATGTATAAGTGCAGACATGCATACATAGAGACAGGCATACATACATAGATTTCATGCATGCATGCATGCATTACATACATCTACATATATCACACAACATTACATTACATTGCAACAAATTACGTGTATACATAAATACATACATACATACAGACATACACACACATTGCAAACATATATTCATCGCAGTACATTATATACTTACCTACATACATAGACGTATATGCACGCATGCATGCATATATGCTTGCATTCATACATACAGACACACCTACAGACAGACATGCATGCATATCCGCCGGCCCCCTTGTGGGGCCACCAAGCTGTAGGACGAGGGCTTGCTGTTCCCTTGCACCAGTTCCAATTTCCAGTTTCCAATGTGATAGTTCTGCTTCTTGTTGTAGTACAGCTCCTTGTTGTAGACCGCGCGAAGGGGGGGAGCCGAAAATCAACCTGGTTAGCGTCTCCTGGGAGGGGTCTCAAGATTCCTGGGGGGGCGTGGGACACGTAACAATACATGAAATTCGAGCCCCCGAGGCCATACACCCCCTTAAACTATACAATATTCGCGTCCCCGAGGCCAGAACCCCCCCGCGAATTACACAATATTCGCGCCCCCGAGCAAAATACTCCAGACTCGCGTCCCCGAAGCCTTAAACCCATGTAAACTACGCGTTACTTGCGTCCCCGAAGCCACAAACGCTCGTAAATCACACGGTTTCGCGTCCCCGAAGACATAAACCCTCGCAACACACAAAATATTCGCGTATCCGAAACCATACACCTGCGTAAATGACGCAGTAGTTGCAACCCCGAAGCCATAAACCCAGGTAAATTACAAAACAATCGCGTGTCCGAAACCATAAGCCCTAGAAACTTATCCAACGCTCGCGTCTCCGAAGCCACAAACCTGCGTACATTATGCTATATTTGCGACCCATAGGCCATCAACACTCGCGATTTGTTGTTTTAGCAAAAAACACAACAACAACAACAACAACAACAACAACAACAACAACCACAACAACAACCACAACAACAACCACAACAACAACAACAACAACAACAACAACAACAATTACTAGCACGTGGGGACACACCGTTCTCACCAGTGCCAGGGTTTTCATAGGAGGCGGGCAATACCCCCACTTTGTGGGGGGGCCGGTTCAAGCTCTACCAAATTTCCAAACGACTCTTCGCCACCACCCACACCCAGCTTCCCGCCCTATGACGTTCGGACACTTCACTTCGTGGCATGCGGACGACCGTGGCTACTATTCAGGGCCCCGCGGCCGACGACGACGGCGTGCGCGCGCGAAGAAAAAACGAATGTGTCCCGCATGGTATTATTTGACAGGGATGATGGCCCTGGCAGGTGCGCAACCGTTGTTGCAGAAGTTCGAAAAAGTTGCTCGCAAAAGCCCGTTTGACAGAAATGATTAAAAAGTGTTGGGTTTCCTACGAATCCGCAAGAGCGCGCGGGATGAAATTTTGACAATTTTTTTTGAAAAACCATTGTTTTTTTGATGTTTTTATGTTAAAATCGCTACGAAAACTAAGGTTTTGGAAGGATTTCGTCTTGCGCGCGCGAATGTCCACTTTACCTTATTTTTTGCAAGGGATTCTTGAAGTTTGGTTATGTTAGAACAAGAAATGTCCACTTTAGCTTATTTTTTGCAAGGGAAAACCGATCGTAACAACACAACCGGATCCGGACCAACCCGTTTTGCCTGAGACTTCCTCACGAAAATGATGAAAATGAGGCTGCGGCCTAGGCGCGGCGGGGGGGTCGTGCACCAGGGGTCCCAACAATAATTATTCTTTAGAAGTAATAATGTTCAACAACAAAACAACACAAAAAACACGCGTCCCCGAAGCCATCAACCCTTGTACATTACATTCAAATTACCATAGATTCGCGTCCCCGAAGCCACATGTCCGAAATTATCTGGGAAACCTCAGTGCACAGCATACGGAGGCAGGTTCAAAATGCAACGCTGAGTTCAACAATATCATCAGAATATAAATTCCTCTTGCCGATGCTGCTTCACGGCGGCGCCGATCCCTCATGATTCAGTTCTTGCGAAGCCAATTATCCGTGAGAGGGGGCCGGAGGCAGGAGGCGAAGCCCTTACGGATATACATACATACATGCATACTTACATGCATGCATGCGTACGTATACATGCATACATACATACATGTAAACCTATATATATATACATACATGCGTATATATACACACAAACATACATATATATACAGACATACATATATCTATACATATATTGGATGCATGCATGCAAACATACATACATTACATTACACGGCATGGCATTACATTGCATTACATTGCAGTACATTGCATTGCATTGCACTACATTATGTTACATACATTACATTACGATACATACATAATAGTACATTGCAATACATTACATTACATCACATCACATTACAATGAACTACACGACAATATATTGCACTACACTACACTACACTGCACTACACTACACTACAATACACTACATTACATTACACTACAAGCATACATACATGCATGCATACATGCATGGCATACATACCTATATGCATATAGTACATACATACATACACACATGCATTCATGCATACATACATACATACATGTATACATACGTACATACATACATGCATATATGCATACATGCATACATGCGTGCATATATACAGGCATACATACATACATGCATATATAAATATATACATACAATCAGACATACATGCATACTTACCTACATGCATGCATGCGTGCAGACATACATATATACATACATATGTACATACATACAGACAGACAGACAGACAGACAGACAGACAGACAGACAGACATATAGACATACCTACATATTTTGCATGCATACATGCATACATACTACTCTCCGTCGACCATCAGCTGTTTGCTGTGCTTGGACGGGCGGGGCGGCGAGGAGGAGAGGCACGGGGAGTAAAGCAGGGCGCAGAAGGATGCAGCAGGGGCGAAAGAGCAGGGAAGAGGAGCAGAGGCGAACGAGGGTCTCGAGAGGGGCCCAAGAAGGGGGAAAACGAGCTGATATTTCGAGCCCTCCGCCCAGGGATGGACCCCCGAGACCGCCACAAAGGCCCGAAAGGCTCCCAGGAGGCCCCAAGGGCCCTCCAAGAGGCCTCCGAGAGGCAACCCAGAAAACCCTTTACGCGGTCAAGAAGCGTCTGGTCCACGACCCAGGCACGGCAGCGGGAAGCGCCCAGGGCCTCCAGGAGCTTCGCAGTTATGCCCGACGAGAAGCTACGGCCAAAACCTATGAAGCGCGATGGGTCGTGGAAACGTCGTGGCGTTTCCGTGGGAGGGTCGCTCCACATCGCGTCGCCTGCAGCTGCATTTGCCCTCACAGCTGGATCCTCACAGAAACTCGAATGATGTTGCTGGTCTGTGGGCGTCTGGGGCGAATCACTCGTAGGCTTGCAGAACAGCCAGAAGCACAAGCTGTTCCAGGATTGGAGGGTGGTACCAATGAGGAGGTAAAAGGAAATGCGAAGATGCGTCCACATCGCACTCTGAGCACGTTCTGTGGATCGCGGGCTGGAATCCCCAGCTCCGCTACCAACTAGACTTGTGGGGAGTTTGAAGCCTGACGAGGGAAAGCAGTCCGTCAATGAGACGTAAATAGCTGGCTTTTCAACTCAACAATACGGCTTAGTACGCGCCGGCGCTGAAGCCAAACGGTGGCACAGCGTCCTATTTGAATGAAGAGGAGGGAGGGAGGGAGGGAGGGAGGGAGGGAGGGGGAGGGAGGAGGGAGGGAGGGGGGGGAGGGGAGGAGGAGAGGAGGAGGAGAGGAGGAGGAGAGGAGGAGGAGGAGGGAGGAGGAGGAGGAGAAGGAAGGAGGAGGAGGGAGGAGGCGCGCGAGCGCGGAGCTCCAGAGAGGCCAACAAAGAATGGCCGATGGAGAAGATCGGGACGACCCCCTCAAATTGAAAGCGCCCACCCTGCAGGGTCGGTTAAGCAACACATCGCTGACCAGTGCTGCAGCCCGAGGGAGGAGAAGGAGAAGGAGAAGGAAGCGGAGGAGGAGGAGGAGGAGGAGGAGGAGAAGGAGAAGGAAGCGGAGGAGGAGGAGGAGGAGGAGGAGGAGGAGGCGGAGAGAGAGGGGGAGGAGGAGGAAGAACAGTGTAAACCCAAGTCGCCATCAAGGATGTTGCAATAAGCCCTCCCTCCAAGCTCCCTCTTCGTCGGCCCCGTCAATGGTTCATTTCCACTCAAGGCTGTGCCCCGTTGGGAGACAACCGTTGGAAGAGCTGAAGCGTGCCAAACCACAACTCTCGGAACTCAAACGCCACGAATCATCTTGACTATTAGGCCGAGACGATCCCGATTCGTGCCAGAACACCGTTCCTGAGACCCCACCACCGCGAGTCAATGTAACTGCTGCGCCCTGATAATCTGGAAGCGTTCCAAAACACCATTTCTGATACGGTAACCATGGTATTCCACAAACTCTCGCCATTCCTTAGAACGAATGTGCGCGGCGCTGAGTTGAGAGCCGCATCTCGAAAAGGAACCAACCCCCAATGCGTGAAACCCTTGCGTTATTGTAAAAACGCATGTGCGCGGCGCTGAGTTGAGAGCCGCGTCTTGAAAAGGAACCACCCCCAATGCGTGAAACCCTTGCGTTGTTGTAAAAACGCATATGCGCAGCGCTGAGGCGAAAGCCACATGTTGAAAACGGCCCGCCATCGATCCGCGAAACTCTTGCAATTTGTTGACACGAATGCGCGCGGCGCTGAAGCGAAAGCCACAACTTGGAAGCGGCCGCCTTCAATTTGTGAAACTGCTACAAACTGCTGAGCTTCTTCAGGATCATGGATGGAAGGAAAGTCTCAGACGAAACGCCCCGCCCGCCCTTCCGACCGGCCTCGCGGTGCGACGCGGAGGAGCTATGTACAAGGAAAAGTGAAGGGGGCCTGGGACACACAAATAAATACACACAAATAACAGGACTCCCCCTATCTCCCCATAATTTCTGAGTGTGTGTCTCCCCCCCCATTTCCCATATGTTTCCCATGTTTTCTGTGGAATCGACGATTAATTGTGTCTGTGTGTTTTTCCCCTCCTGATACTAACAAGGAAATGGACTGGAGGAGGGGGGAGGTGAGAGATCGGCTCGGATCGGATCCGATGTCCGCGGGAGTGTTTCGAAGAAGCTGCTGCCGTGGGGCGTGTCGCCGCCCAACCGCGGAGCGACAGGCCAGGGGGGGGAGGGAGGCAGGCGGAGGAGGAGGAGGAGACGGGAGGAGGAGGAAAAAACGAGAGGAGGAAGAGGGGGAGGAGGGAGGAGGAGGAGGAGGAGGAGGAGGAGGAGGAAAGGGGAGGAGGAAGAGGAGGGGGACCAGTGCAAACCCAAGTCGCATCAACGATGTTAGAATTAAGCATCCCTCGATTTTCCCTGTCAAACGGCCCTAGAAGGGCTCATATCCACTCAGGGAAGCGCCCCGTTGGGCGACAAACGTTGGAAGATCATGGAGCGTGCCAAAACACTATCGTCGGAACTCCATCAACACGAATCAACCTGACAGTTGCGCCATGACGATCCTGAACCGCGCCAGAACACCATTCCCGGGACCCCAACAACGCGAGTCAACATAATTGCTGCGCCTTGACACCCCTGAACCATTCCAAAACATCATACCTGGTCGGTTGGTTGACCAGGGGAACCCGCGAAGCCCATGCAAATATTCAGGACAAATGTGCGCGGCGTGAAAGCACCGCCCGCTCTCAATTGCACTTGTTTGAAACGAATGCGTGCGGCGCTGAGGAATCCACATGTCGAAAATGGCCCGCCCTCAATCCGCGAAACTCTTGCAACATGTAAAAATGAATGCGCGCGGCGTTGGGGCGAGAGCCACATTTTGGAAGCGGCACGCCCTCCATATGCAAAACTCGTGCCAACTCCCAAGCCTCAGGACCACACGTGCTACAAAGATCTCGCGCGAAAACGCCCGGCCCGCCCTTCCGACTGGCCTCGGGGTGCGGCGGGGAGCTCTTCATCGAAGGAGACAGCGTGGAAGCAAGAGGAGGGGGCGTGCACACCGAGCATGGGCCCAGAATGGGCGGCTGGCGGCGGCGGCGGGGACGACGACTTCCTTTTTTGGGCCGGCGCCGGCGCCTGCGGCGGCGGCGGGCGGCGGCGGCGGCGGGGAGCATCGACGAGGACGAGGACGACGGCCACGACGATGACGACGACGACGCTCCGCCACCGCGCCTTGGTTTAGAGGCCTAGTGCATGCAAAGCCATGCTCGGCGAGGGGATCGGTCGACGCCGCCCGAGGGGGACGCCGCGCCCGCGCCTCAGCCGCAGGTCGAAAGGCTCCCCCTCGCGCTGGAAGCGGCAGCGCCTCCAGAGTATGGCGCAGCCGTCTGCCGCGCTGCCTGGCAGGATGGGCTAAAGGGGAGGAGGGGGAGGGGGTGAAGAAGCGCAAAAGGGGAAGAGGAGGAGGAGGAGGAAACTAGAAAAATGAGGAGGAGGAGGAGGAGGAGGAAGAGGACTGCGGACATTTCCCGGCAGACGGAAGGAAAGCGGCAGGGCGCGCGAACGAGGCGGGCACGGGCGAGCGGCCTCGGAGAGCACAAGATGGCCTCCGAGATGGCTCAGATAGCCCAAGGTGGCTCAGGATGGCTCCCAAGGTGCTCCAAACGGCCCCAAGACCGTTCCAAGAGCGCCCAACAGCGCTCCAAGGGAGCCCAAAGAAGCGGGTTGCCGACTCCTGAGGGGGGGAGCAGAGTTGGGCCCCCCCCCATCCTGTAATCGATGGCCTCCAAGATGATACCAAGAGAGTTCCAAGAGAGCCCCCAAAGACCCCAGAGAGCACCAGCTGCAGCAGCAGCCGAAAGAATACCTGTAGATGGTTCCATGAGTCCTCGTCCGCATCGTCCTAGTCCTCGTCCACCTCGTCCTCGTCCTCATCCGCGTCCTCGTCCTCCTCCTCCTCCTTTTCCTCCTCCTCCTCCTCCTCCTCCTCCTCCTCCTCCCCTCGCCCCCACGCGGCCCCCAGGGATGGCCCGACGAGGCCTTCCAAGGGCACCCTCTTGCTCCCAGAGATCTCTCGGTTCACCCTGGTTGCTCGCTTTGTTTCCCTAGATGTGTCTCTTCGTCCCTTTTTCCGTCAGCTCTCATGGGCAGGGCTTCTGCATGGGCTGATGGGGATATTTTTTTGGTCGGCGGCTCCCAGGCAACGGACAGGGAGCGGAAGCGGCGTCCGGGTCACGGTACGAGGCTAATTCGCAAAGAATGGCTGATGGGGATACTTTTTGATTAGCGGCCCGCAAGGAGAAGTCCAGAGGGCGTGGGCACCGAGGCTGGGGCACAGCGCAAGAAGAATTAGCGCGAGGACGCGCGGAGTGCGCTGATGGGGATACGCGAAGCATCAAGAAGTGAAACCTTGTGTTAAAAAACAAGCACCGAAGAGGGCGGGCTACTTCGTATCATTTTCGGGAGCAGAGATGCTTTCATGAATGTTTTTTTTTCCAGGGGGACGGAGGAAGAAAGCTGAGGGGAATCAGGCGCACATGAACGAAGCCGCACGTGTCGGGACCGCGTGGCCGATGAGAGTTGCGCAGCTGGCTGGGCGCAGAAGGCAAAAACCAGCAATGGCCCTGGACTCGGGCTGGAGGAGGGAAGAAGGGGAAAAGACAGGAAGAAGCAGCAGGAAGTAGGGAGGGAGGAAGACAGCACGAACGGTAACAACACTCAGCGCCAAACCGCGGCGGCTGCTGTGGATTAACCTACAGCATATACGCTCGTCGGTCTGGAGTTATGTTGCCGTTGGGGCTCGAACGAAAGCCTGTGCGACAGTTGCTGCTTGCATGCCGCAGAACCTTCAAGCGGAAAAATCGCACGCTTGAGTTGATTCAAAGAACGGCGGAGGAGAGAGGAAGGAGGCGACCAAAAAGAGGAGGGGAGGAGGGGCTAGAGCCACCGCCCGATACGCCAAAGACATAACTAAAAAGGATGCTAGAACCAGACCACGAACGTGGCGAAGATCCCAAGCAACAGCGTACGAGAAGACCACCAAATAGCCCGTGTGAAAGTGCTGAACAGCATGCAGAAGTAGAAGACGCAGAGGAGCATGACAATCACGACGCGGAGGAAAAGAAGTGCTCCGGAGGTGGCGACAATACGCCAGAGCGTCGAGTCCCTGCCCGCCGCTATTGTCACAGCTTGAATCCACGCGTCGCGAGCGGCTATCACTCGCCCATGCTGGGCGGCATTGATGGCCATGAACGTCAGGTAAAGACGCAGGGTTCGAAGCGCCAGCTGTGCAAGATCAGACCCAACAGTCAGAAGCAGAAATCCTCGAGCCGGTCCCCGGCGGGAGGCACAGCCACTCGGAGTCGGTCCCCAGCCAGCCGCGCAACCATCGGACAGCCAGGGCAGCGCTGCATAGAGCCCTGTCCTGCTGGGCAACCGAAGCAGAAGTGCGGCGCGCAGAGGCTGGGAACAACGCAGGTCCAACCGCCCAGCGCCGCCTTGAGTGCTGCTGCCCAAACGCACGAAGGCACCGCAAGGCCAAGACGCTGGAGCAAGTTTTCAAGACGCTGGACACGACGGCCAGGAAAAACAGGAAGACGCCACCGATCCAGCAGACGGCGCAAATGACGATGGACTTCAGAAACGGCCAGTCTCCTCAGGAACTGGCCGCACACTATCTGCCACCGCCCTGTCGAAGCGAGGTGGGCGATGGGCCCTGCAGGAAACTATCCAAACTCACGCGCTCGACATCGGCCAGGATGGTGAACTGCTGCTGCGCCCTCGGGAGGTCAACAAGAAACTGCCAGACAGTCACGGGAACGACGCCGCGGTCCAATCCAGGAACTGCAAGAGGGCCTGCGCCACGGAGGCGGCGCAGTCGATGGCGAACTCAGAGCCCCCCAAAGCTGACGTTTTCCCATCGGTGAACCCGACACTTGGCACCCAGAGCAGCGGACTCCATGCTCGGCATGTCCGCGGGGAAGCCGAGGCCTCGCAAATTCTGCGGGACCGCGGGGCACGTCCACCCACGAGCGCCACGGAAGAGCGCGTTGACCAGCCACATCTCCTCCTGCTTCCAGGCTGGCGGAAACTCCTCCAGCCGCAAGAGGAAAACAGCAGATGGGGGAATGTACATGCGCAGCGCGGTCAGCGTGACGAACATTCCGCTTCCGACTGCAAATCCTCGCCCTCGCGTGCATTTTGCAGATAGCGTCCTCTCAAGCCTGGGCGCCCCCGGTGGGGCCGAGAAGAAAGCTGAGGTACTTCGCGCGCCCGGCGATGCTGAAGGCGCCCCAAGCTCGAGTTTCTGCGGCGATGGCTGCCCAGATCTCGTCGTGCCCCCGCAGGGACAAACGCGCGATCACTGATTCATGGCGTGGACTTTCAAACACGACACGACGTCATACTCGCCGAAAAAAGCCTCCAACTGCACAGCATGTGACAGATGCTTCAGAACGGGAGAGCGACGTCGTCCGCGAAGGCCCTGATCAGAACCTCGGGCGCCAGGCGGCGGACCCGACGGATCAAGACGCCAGAGACAATGGAGAGCATGAGCGGCGAGAGCAGGCATCCCTGTCTGACCCCTGCGGTGACTCCGAACCCAGGACCTGAGGCGCCACATGGAGGGAGGAAGCAGAAGCTGTTGTCGTGCAAGGCGGACACCAACCGCCGCATCCAGGGGGGGCATATCGTTGTCTCCGACACGCGCTGAATGAACTCCTGGCTGATGCTGGGGAAGGCCGCATCGAAGCCCAGGAACACCGCCAGCGGGCTGTCCTGGGAGAGGGCGGAGTCCTTCATTCGGAAGCTGGGCGAGGGCTGCTCAAACCGTGGAAGGAAAAAACGCCTTCCCGGAATGAGGCGAGGCACGCGAAACAATCAACGGGCTTCTTCCCGGAAGGACGAAGACAACTTCCCGGAGGTCGATTTTAGCAGCCACGGACTTAACAGCCCTTGCACGGCTTCCGATTCATGGCTTCTTCGACGCCCATCCCATCGGCAAGCATGGATCGGCCGCACACGAAGCCGCGCCGCTGCAGCGACAACAACCCAGGAGCCACGATGGGCTCAAGGCGCACGGCGCTGCACAAGACGCGGCTGTCTGCGCTGGTGATGCTGAGTGGGCGCGGGCTTGCCAGAAAGAAGACCTCGATGCCATCATGGAGCGTGGACGACGCCTTTTTGGGGCAGGAAAGACACCAGGCTCTTATTGAAGGTCGCCCATTCCGCCCTCATGCGTTCCAGGCTGATCGGACATCGCGCTAACAGACCATGACGAGGGACGTCCCGATCATGAACAGCGGCTGCATCGCACAGACGCTCCCGCGGGAGCGGGTGCATCAGAAGATCAGGAATGTGAGGTCTCAGCCTCGGGAGAGGGTATGGTGACCATCGCGAAGTCTTCACTCCAGCTCCTCTTCAAGAGGAGCTGGAGCAAGAACATCATCGTGATGACGAATTCGAGCCATCGGCGACCCCGCTGAAGCTGGCGTCAGCCCGAACCACAGCACTCACATGCCCAAGGGGGCAGCGGAGGGAGCAGCCGCGGTCGAGCAGCCAGCGAACGGTGCCATCGGCTTCCAAAAGTCTGCATTCCCAACGACGTGCGTGCGCGTCTCTCTGCTGACCCGGGCGCCCGAACATCGGCTTCCCCGTCAACGGTACACCCAGCACCCGTTCCCCGTTACCGCTGTGGAAGTGTAGAGCGGGAGGGGTAAAGGGGGAGGACGGGGAGGGGAGGAGGAGAAGGAGGAGGAGGAGGAGGAGGAGGAGGAGGAGGAGGAGGAGGGGGAGGAGGGGGAGGAGGAGGCGGAAGAGGAGGAGAAGGAAAGGGAAGGAGGAGGGGGAGGGGGAGGAGGAGGCGGAGGAGGAGGAGGAGGAGGAGGAGAAGGAGAAGGAGGAGGAGGAGGAAAACGAGAAGTAGGAGGAGGAGGAGGAGGAGGAGGAGGAGAAGACGACGACGACGAGTAAGAGGAGGAGGGGGGGAAGAGGAGGGGGAGAAAGAGAGGGATTGCGCCGAGCGGGGGCAGGGGGGGACGAAAAGGGGAGAAGCAGCTGGAGGGAAGGTGCAGGAGAGGAAGAGGAGAAGCGACGACGACGACGACAGCACCCTACCCCCTCCCTGAGATCCGACGTCGCGAAAGAAATGGAACATCGTCAAGGATCACGACCGGAACCCTAGACCCCATCTCTCCGCTTCAACCTCCGAGCCGGATGGATCTGTGATCGCACCGGGGCCAGAAGCAAGGGAGAATCGCCTGCTGCGAACACACTGCGACGCCAGGATCTGAAGGGGTCTCCTGGAGTCTCCTGGCCCTGCCTGTCTTCTGCGTGTGGTGGTGGTCCCACCCCAGAGGCCCCAGCGGCCCCAGCGCGGACAGCTGGCCAGGATCCACCTCTTGGAGGCCCAGCAGGTCGGCGCCCATCGCCAGGATGTCTCGGAGGAGCCGCTGGGCCCCCGCAGTGGGGGGCGCCTCGCCAAGCCGAGAAGGAGAAGGATGGGGAGGAGGGGGAGGAGGAGGAGAAGGAGAAGGAGGAGGAGGAGGAGGAGCACCAGGAATAGGAGCAGACACACAAGGAGAGAATAAACTCCCAGAGGCCCCCTCCATCATGACCACCACCACCATCGCCATCATCATCATCATCATCATCATCATCATCATCATCATCATCATCATCAGCATCATCAGCATCATCAGCATCATCAGCATCATCATCATCATCATCATCATCATCATCATCATCATCATCACCATCATCATCATCATCATCAGCAGCAGCAGCATCATCATCATCGCCATCGTCATTGCCATCGTTATCGTCATCGTCATCGTCATCATCAGCATGATCATCATCATAACCATCATCATCATCATCATCAACAGCAACAAACAGAACAACAACAACCACAACAACAACAGCACCAACAACAACAATCAGTTTAATATTGCTCGCTCTCACCTGCTCGCGTGCCATTCAACACGTATATCCCAACTTCTCGATACCCACCCTCTGCGTCTTCGATCGTATCCCCTTGCGGGCATATCTTTCTTACATGTAACGTGTATCTCGTGCAGCCCCTAAGGCAGGTGAAGAGAGAACGGATGGAAGGGATAGGGACAAGGGGCAGCCGGGTTGCTGAAGCGTGCGTTGTGCATGATTCGAGAGGAAGTCTCGAGTGATAGAGCGATTCCCAAGTCAATCCTGAGGAAATCCGCAGCGAGAGCGTGATTCCTGAGTGTCGAGGGCGCGGGGTCTGAATAAATTGCGAGGAAATCCCGTGCGAGGGAGCTTGTTCTTCCATAATTTGTGAGGAGGTCCCGCGCGAGAGCGTGAGTTGGGAATAAATTGTGATGAAATGTTAAGCGGGAGCCGCTGTTGTTGTAAACTGGTGACAGCTCAGTTTCCCTGGTGAACAACAGGGTGCGAGCCGCGGGAGGAACACTCGAATTGAAAAATACATTGGTCACCGGAGGGGGGGGATATGAACAACAATCATGCTATAAAAATGAAGATTCAGCAATAATCAATTTAAGACTGTTCGCTCCTACCTGCTCCCGTGCCATTCCACACGCATATCCCAAACCCTCGATACCCGCCCTCTCCGTCTTCGATCGTACGACCCTGAGGAGTACATGTTCCTTGCCTGCCACGCGCATGTCCTGCAGCCCCCAAGACACGGGAGGAGAGGGCAGGTGGAAGGGATGGGCAGAAGGATGGAGCACGAGAGAAAGCAGCAGGTGAGGGGGCCAGGAGCAGAGAACACGCGGCAGAACCAGACGGGCAGACTGGGCGGGCAGACCCCAGCGGGCGGGTCGGGAAGGGCGGACCCACGCGGCCAGGCCGAGCAGGCGGGTCCTGCATGGATCGCGAGGAAGTCTCGAGCGATAACACGACTCCAAAGTCAATCGCCAGAAATATACAGCGAAAGCGTGATTCCTGGATGTCGTGGGCGCGGCGTCAAAAGTCCTGGGCGAGAGCGCGATTCTTGAATAAATTGTGAGGAAATCCCGCGCGAGAGCGATTTTGGAATATATTGTAAGGAAATGCTACGCGGAAGCCGCTGTTGTTGTAGCGGGGGGGGCAGCAAGCCAGTTTGAGCACGAATATTCTCCCCGATTAAAAACAGGAGTGCGAGCCCCGAGGGGGGCACTGCAATTGAAAACTCAATGTGCACCAATTGGGATGGAACAACAATAGATATTCTTCGAACGCGAGAATACCACCAGCCCTCTGGGCGTAGGTGGTTTAGGACGGCTCCTCTTCCAACCCCAATATTCCCCTTCGGGGAGGGGTTCACCACTGTTCATTATTAATATACACCCCCTCCCCCAGGCGACTGGGCCAACCACGCAACATGCCGACACCATGACCACCCGGCCCCCACCATCCCTGTCAAAAACAATACAAACCGCACTCTGCCTCTACATTTGGAGCGTGCGCGGCCAACCCGACGCGGCCCCCCCACCACCATCCCTGTCAAAAACCAACGCAGCAAAGTACACTCTGGGGCAAAGTCTTGAGTAATGTTCGTGAGGCCCGCGAGCACTTCATATTGTTGTTGTCAAGGACGGCGGGGGTGTCAGTTTATTCCTTGCTGTGCGCAGGGCTACCACCCCTACAATACAACATGCACCTGGCGGCTGAATCTGGATCATGCGCGGCCATCCCGCGATCACTGCCAAGTGGTTTTCGAAAGGGACGGCGGGGGTGGTGCCGCGTGGTCTGCTGTGCGCAGCCCCAGCAGACACAATTACGGGCATCGGTTTTTGACAAGGACGGCGGGGGCCGACATGTTTCCCGATGTGTGCTGTCACGTGCGCAGGCGCACCTGACGCACTCTGCACGTGCCCCGAACGCAGCGCACCTGGCGCACTCGGAGCACGTGGCGCATCTGGCGCACCAGGCGTTCCTGGCACGCTCGGGCCCCAGGGGTGCCTGGCGCGCGTGGCGGCCCTGGCACGCGTGTCGCACTTCGCCCAAACGTCGCGCACCTGGGGTCGGCTTTGGTGCCCAGTAGCTGCCCATCAATAGACGACCGCTGAACATGCTCAGTTTCGGGTGTTACTTATGTGTAGGGAGGGTGGGTGGGAGTGGGCTAGACGGCTTGAGGGCAAGTGAATGTCTTGACCCCTCCCCCGACCCCCTCCCCTGGACCCGGAC